TTAACAAAAATCTCATGAGTGGCACTACTGGTAGCTGTCTATGCTTATTCTAGATCCAAAATATATTACAGGCAGGATTTTTTCATAGCTATTTCTGCATATATATTCTATATGGATTTTGTGAATGATCTGAGCCAGGCTGGCAGAACAGACTGCTGCCTTTTCCACCCGTGGCACTGAGACAGAAAAAGTCTTCATACCAAATAAGAAGCTACACAGGATTACTGGCTACCATCAGGTTTAGCAAATTGCTAATGGTTTTCAGGTCATATTATCAGCTGGGGATGTAGGTAGAATTTAGACATATGGATTCTATTGAAAGTGCCTAAATCTTTATTTAAATTTTGTTCCAAATTCTTCCTCTGAGGAAATTTGAGGTCTGCACAATTCTTAGACATGGGATGAGGACTCAAGAAGCCAGTGAACTTTTGGGACTGACACATTCTAGGGAGAAGCATAAGTACTCATACTTGGAGTGTGGCAACACAGGCAGGGATAGAGAGCTGATCCCTGTATATAAAAATCTCAGGACCAACAAAAAGGCCCACTTATTTGCATAGAAATACTAAATCCTCATCAATTTAATGGAAGCCTGGTGTACTCATGAATTGTTGGCCAAGATACAGACTGGAAAAGTTCCCAAGAAGTGTTTCATTACTTGTGTGGGTGTGGGGAAAGTGTTATAATTCTTCAACCATATCTGAGTAGTTATGTTTCTTTATCACTTTCTAAGCCAAAGAACTATTTTTAAATTGAATTAAAAATTGCTACTTATGCAGTTATCTTGTGGATACTCTCCAAAACAGCATTTCTGTAGCTATCTTGGGTCAGAACAGCATGATGAATCAGCATGAAAACACCACCAGTTCAAACACAATTAATTCCCTTTATTTTTCATTCCCCACTAAGATGTGGTTTGTATCCATCCCTCATAATTCACTCATAATGTTTCCTCACTCTTAAAGGTAAAGAATGTAAAGGAATTGTGATTTGATATAATCTATTTAACTCAGAACCAGAAAAGTGGAGCCTTAAGAGCACAAAAAAAAAAATATCCCAACACACCAATAGGAAATTCTTAAAGAAGAATTCAATTCTGTTCAATTATCCCACAAAAGCCTCTGTAGCTCCTACTACATAGCTCATATCACAGAGGGAGAGAATAGCAAAGGTAATCATTGGCTGAGTATCAAGTTGTCTTGCCTGTTTAATCCTTTAAAAATTTGAAAAGGCAGGAAATACTCTTGTCTCTCCATCATATCTGTTTTAGTTCTGACAGACCTGCCTGTAAGCAGATAGCCTTCCTCCAAAGTGAGGGCTTAAATACGATAGAGATACCTAAAATACATGTTCATCTCATGTCCCCCTGACAAAGATCTGTGAAGGTTTTTATGTTGTGGAACAAAAGGGAAGATATGATCTGAAGAAAAGCACAATAGTCCAAATCTCCGCAAATTCAGATCTTTGTGGTAATCAAACAACCTTTCCAACCTGGCTCTTCCTTGTGCACCCTGTGCAGTTAGATATCCCCATGACAGCACACTAACATCTACTTTGCACCCTTGTCGTTTGCAGAACTTAGAATAGAAGCAACTTAAAACATACAAGAAGTGCTTGGTGTGTCTCACTAGGAAAAAAATGCAAGTTTTTCCAACAGAATGAAACCAGCCCATTTGTATACCCTATGCTAATATGCTTCTTTCAGGATCTGATATATTCAGCTAAATCCTCATCCACCACTAAGGGCTGTGCAGCAAAATCTCTCTGTGAGCAATAGGCTGTCAGCTGCTGGCATTTCAGGGCTCTCAGTGGCATAAGCTGAGTAGCACATATTTGTGCAAGGGAAACAAATCAAAAAACCTTTTCAATTTACTCATTTTATCCTTCTTGGTAGCTCCTCAATGCCTCTGCTTTACTAACTAAATTGTATGTTTAATAAAAGGTATTATTTCTCTTTACAAACCGTGCCTAACAGTTTGTAACAAATTTGGTTCTTTAAGATTAATTCAATAGTAATATTCTTTCAACTATGTACATGATTCTCATACCTGCTTCAGGAAGAATCTAGAGATTTAACAAATTTTAAAATAATCAATTTATTTGTTCTCTCTGCACTGCTTACAACAGCCTCATCTTTTACTTCAGGAGAGATGTTACTGGATCACAACAAAAGTTTCCTATAGTGCCCTAAAGAGACAGGTGATTGCACAATTCTTAATTACATTTCAAAAATGTTTCCTTGTCCTGTCTTAGCCCTATTTTCTAAAGAAATGTCTCCCACGTACCCTCAGGATTTTCAATTTTAAGTACCTCTAAATGCCTCTGAGGATAGTGGCCAGCTTGAAAGACAGTGAATTTCATTCACATTCTCTGCTTCTGCAATTTCTGCTTGAAATTTCCTGGTCCTGTATTTGTATAAGTTTCCCTGAGATAGTAAGACTAGTAAGGGAGGTATCATTGCTAATCTTCTCCTCCTACATAATAAAACATGGAAGTGATTTCACCAAAGCCTTGGAAGTGATTTCACCAAAGCATTGGAAAAATGGACCTTGTGAAAATGGTCTCTCATGTACTGTATACATTATGATTTACAGCTCCTGTAGCACAAACAAAACTTAAACTGGATGGATGTGTTCTCACAGAGAAATTTTCCTCAGTGATCATTCAAGGATTTCCTAACTACATACATGTAAGAACAAATGCCAATATGACAGCACCATCACCATCAAAGCTATACTGGCAGCATTTCATCATTCACATTTGATTTTCATGCTGCCTCCCTGCTTTGCATATTTTGTAGATATGCACTATTCAAAGATTTCTTAATATCCAAAACTAATATTTGGTGGGCTTAGCAGTATTACAGCAGTGTAAGATTAATTACTTTTAAATAGGATTACAAATCATGGAGATTTTTTAATTCTTTATTGCCGAGTAGTAGAGACATTTTGTTAATGAATTGCTGGCTTGTCTCCTTTTATTTATGATACCCACTATCTCAGCTATATAATGGATTTGGGTGGCAGAGGTTAAGCATCATAAGACACAGAATTTTAATTTCAAGTAGGTAGTAGACAACAGTATACTGAATTATGAAGAGATGGTGTTCAATAAACATTCAGTGAAAGAAGTGAGAACACAAAGACAAGAGAATAATTCTAGTTTAAATCAGCACTAGCTGGTGAAAATCAGCCATTTACAAGAGGTTATGTTCTTTCTCAATACAAAGATATATCTCTTGTTAGTATTTTAGGGTGAGAGGGGAGTGGAGGGAGAACTGAGAACAATAAGAGATGTAGTCATCAGTGTCACCAGTTCAGTCAAAGCCCCTGTTCAGCACACAGCAGTGACCTCAAATGTTAAACTAAGAAATAGAAAAGAGCAAGAGCCCAGTGCTACGGTGTGAATCATCACACATCCTTAAGAAAGCTTAATTATGTCAACCTGTTTTCAAAAGGTTGGTAGAAATGGAGATGGAGAGCTCAGAGATGGACATAAGAACTATCAAAGAACAGAAATACTTAATGGAGAGAGAGTGCAAAAATGAAATCACCTATCTTACAAATAGAATAGAAAAGCAGAGAATAACACTGGGAAGGTAGATAAGCCTATTCATATCCTTTTGCAATACAGGAATTAAGTTTAAAAATCAACTTAGATAAATTAAAATTAAGCAAATGTCAATGTAACAGCAATTTAAAAAATCAAACCAACACCAAGAACACAGATCGTCTGATACTGTCAAAGTCTGTATGTGGACTTCATTGCTACAAGATGCTTTGCAGCATTCAGCTAACTGCTGGCCAATATTGAAGTCACAAAATAAAAAGTACTAGAACAGAGGATGTTTGTACAGAAATTAAAGTTCTGAAATTAACACAAACTGTGATGCTCCCTGATACGAAACAACCTCCATTTGCTGTAGGAATCGCTTTTGAAAGATTGCTGCTTTGCAGAAACCTAACGTAGAGCTTTTCTTAAAACTTTCTGAAGTAAACAGTCAAGGCTGCTGTTGGATATTAGAGTTGGTAAACTATTTCTAAAATCAAGTTATGAGGTTTTTCAATTTCAGCCAATTGTGTGAAATTTTAATGAAAAATTACCTTCTAGCTCTTAAAATTCTTGGCATAGAATTTAGGCTGTGGAAAAGGGAAGCTACAGGCTGCAACTTACTTTAGAATAGAACCTGCATGGAAAAAAGGAATCTGTCAGCCTTCCTCTGTAGAGGACTGGCACAGGCAAATGTGGGCTCTTTGGTATGGTTTTTACATCAGAACCAAACACCTAAGATATTCTTCTGCGGTGTGTACGCACCTCCTTGTTGCCCCAGTCACTGTATCTTTTGGAAGAAGCTAAATGCCCACGAGCATGATTGGTTTCTAAGACAGCAGGTGCAAATTTTTAAAAAGCAAACGTTTGAAAGTAAATTTTCCTTCAAACAAAACATTATTTGTCAGAAATGAAATTGACCTATTCTGGGACTGTCCTAGAATAAAGATAAAACCCTAGGAAGCTATAATTACTGCACCTTCTCTGGTCTGGTAAAACTCTGCTGAACCCAGGGAGGTTGCACTGTCACTTTGAAAGAATCAGCTCAAAATCTACCTGTGGTATAAAGCAGTTTAAAGACATATGTTCCAAATATTAAAGCAGCTGGAAATGCCCTATTGACTTGCACAGAGCCGTGGTAAACGGTGACAGTTTAGGTCCGGCTTGGCTTTGACACCCTGGCTCCCGAGTGGCAGCAAGGAGTTACCCGGAGGGACAAGCAGGCACCCGGACAGCAGCTCACCCTGCTCCGGCGGGCTCCTTCCAACAGAGGGGCTGCGGGCCGGCACTCGCCTCGCTCCCTGCTCCGAGCACGGCTCATTTCCAGGGACCCGGAGGAGGAGGAGGAGGCAGGAGCGCGCAGGTGGCGCCGCTCAGTGCGGGCGCCCCGCGCCGGGCTGCGGGCAGCGGCGGGAGGCCGGGGCAGGGCTCGGGGCGCCGGGCTCTCTCACCTGTCGATACTTATCACACAGAGGGTCATGATGGAGGCCGTGCAGCACATGACATCCATGGCGATGAAGACGTTGCAGAAGAGGCGCCCGAAGATCCACTCCCCGCCGATAAGGTCGGTGACGCTGACGAAGGGCATGACGGCCAGGGCCACCGAGAGATCGGCCAGGGCCAGCGAGACGATGAGATAGTTGGAGGGCTGCCGCAGCTTCTTCACGAAGCACACGGAGATCACCACCAGGCAGTTGCCGGCGATGGTCAGCAGGGTGATGAGGCAGAGCACGGCCCCGATGAGAACTTTCTCGGCGCTGCCGTAGCTGAGGATCTGCTCCCCGCACTGGGAGTCGTTGCCGGGGAGGGGGCTCGCCGTGGGCAGCGCCGACGGGGGGGGCGACGGGCCGAGCTTGGCCAGGCTGCGCGGGGGCCAGGAGCCGGCGATCATCCTGCCGCCGCCCAGCGCCCGCGGCTCCTCCAGCGCCAGCGGCCGCAGCGGGTTACCGGAGAGGTGGCTGCCGTTGAGGGCGAGCACCATGCTGCCGTGAGCAGCCCATGGAGCCTCGCCGCCCGCTCTCGGGCTGGCGCCGGGATGCTCGGGCTCCTCCTCGGGCGCCCGGCGCCGCCCGCCCCCTCGCAGCCGGCCGAGCGGCCCGCGGGCGCCCAGCCCGCAACTTCCCCCGGGGCAGCCGCGCTCGCCCGCCCGCAGCGCATCCCGGGCGGGCACGGGGCGGGCACGGCGCTATCGCCCCCAGCCCGCGGGCACCGGGGCGGGCGGGGGCGGCGGCCGCTCCCTCCCACCCGCGCCCAGCGCCCGCTCCCGCCCGCGGCTGCTTCCCGAAGGCGACAGGCTCCGGGATGGGAACCGCTCCGCCTCCTTCTCCCTCCTGCCCTCTGAGCTGCCGGTGGGGGTGCGCCCCTTCCCCGCTGTCCGCGAGCCGGTTCCTCCTGCCGCTTCTCCTTCGGGGCCGCCCCAAGCGAGGGGCGCTCTGGGATCCCCCTGTATCTGTGTATATGTGTATCTGTGTATATGTGTTATATGCACACAGGTCTCACCCGGGAAGCTGCGGGATGGTGGCCCGGCCGGAGCCTCTCGGTTTGCCGGCTCCGGCACAGCCCTGTGACACGTCCCGTGTATGTAAGCACTTCTCTGTGTTTCCAAGCTTGCAGGTTCTTCTTCATAATAAGTTGGTGCGAGTACCATCACCTATAGTTTCTCTTTTATTAATATTTTGATACTCTGGTTTTGAATTTACTCAGTGCTCCATGTGTAATTCCTTCTGCAAAGCTAAAACCAACAAACTCCTATTGCTTGAATTACCTGCTTTTCTTGTAGGTTCCCTGGACTCTTAGATACAAGCCAATTTCTGGGGCTCACTAGCTTTCTCAATTCATTAAGTCCTATTCTTGCCTCAGAGTGGGGTGAAAATTAACTGTTTGCATTGTGAGTTACACACGGGATGCCAGCAGAAAATCACACCCCTTGATATAGTAACATGCCAGACAGTAAGGACTAAAACTATGAAACACCTGCTCCTGAGTGCCCCTCACACTGTCAACATGAGACAGAAGCCAGGTGAACTAGAAAAGGACAGGAAATGAAAAGTGTTGGTCTTAAATGTATCAGTAACTGTGAGGTTTAAATGAAGGGAGATCTTGCAACAATACAGAAAGTTTTATTGAAGTATGCATGGGACAGGGAAGAGCTGTTTGTGTGGCTCAGGAGTAAGAAAGGCTGCAGGATGGTTCCACATTATACAACTTTAAAATCTGCTTTGAATACGAACCTAATAAGTATCCAGTTATTGGGGAAAAAAAATAAACTCAGCCAACAGTCCTACAGACTAGTGAAACACAAATCCATAGCAACTGAGGCTTCCATACTTGACTCACAGAACACAGATTGAGCACAGGCAGAGCCTCCTGTGGTCAGAAATGCAGAGTTTGTTTGTTCAATTGCTGCCCTTCCCTACCACCCCCACATCTTGATTTGACTAAAATAATAAAATAAGCAATGATAAGTTGCTTGTTGGGCAGCTCCTTGACCATTACCAAGTTGAAAGAATTTTCCTGTTCAGTCAAGTGTTTCCCCACACTTTGTTACTTGCTTTATTGTGTCCAATCACAACAAAAGCAACAAAATCACAAAATTAAAATCCCTGTTTAACCACCCAAAATGTGTTCATGGACCTTGAGTTACCCCGCCAGGTGATAAATGAAGTATTTTTTCCTCTTCAATTAAGCAAATATTAGGAAGAAAAAGGTCTTTAGAAATTGCAAGGATATATCTAAATTAAAACATTAAGGCAAAACTTGGAGAGAGAATGTTTCCTTATTGGTTAGATATATTTTTCTAAAATAGTCTCTGAGGCACAGCTAGGGAGTTAGGAACTTAGTAAATTTTGTTCGAAATAGATTCTTATCACAAAAGCTGATAAAATTGTACAGTTTAATACTCCCATTAAAAGCAATTTTTCAGTTGCTTAAAATGTCACTAAGGCAGAACAAATTATAATCTGGTGCTTCCTGCAAATGCGTTAACACAGTTCATTAAATCAGTCATTCTTCTTGACAGCTTTTCAATACACTTCTTGGATGTGGCTCTCTAAATGTTCTCAGTGGATGATACACAGGATCATTTGGTAGGGTAGGGATCACTCCTACCCATTCCAACCCAAAAGCAGGACTGAACCTTGCCTTTTGTTCTGTATCTTAAATTCCCTTACAGTTCATTCCAAGTTAATCATCTGATTTCTTTCCTTCTCAAAAGCCATGGTACCACTCTTTGAATTTGCTGTTGTGATCTTAACTTTGAAGAAACAAAGCAATTTAAATCAATTTATGTACCATTACAGAAAGGGATTTATGTACTATTGCAAAGATGTGAAAAACCCTGGCAAGACAAAGCAGCTGACACCTCTCTAAAATATGCCCCTTGAAAGCTTTTTACTAGGACACACCTAAAATAACTTCCAGTTTCCCAGGCTGGGCTGAAACTGGTGAGGTGCTTTTTGTGAGGGTTTAGAGGGTTTCACATGGCCAGTGCCTGGAAAAGCATAGAAAATCAATCATTCCATGAGATGACATCTATTCTAGGTACTTAAAATAACAACAAAGGAAAGTAGGACTTCATCTTTCCAAGGGTACATCCCTTTTTTGTCTTCAGTGATCCTATCTAAAAATTCTAACACATTGTTCCAGACAGAATATAGAAGTGAAACAAATGCCCAATTAGGTGTCAAGAATAACAAGCTGACATTTGTTCTCTACCCAAGAAATTACTTTTTCACCTTCCATTAGGCTTCAAAAATATAATCAAATCATTTTTCTGGCTGGGCTTAGTAAAATCCTGTCCTTTGAGTAATTTAGGCTCTCTATGCATAAAATCCTCTTAACATTTACATATACCTCCAATTCTGTGCTAAATCCTTTGTCCCCCATTCTTTCTGCACTTAGTGAAGTTAAACTATTTTGTTAATATTTGATAATGTACTTTATTTACAAATCTCACCTTTGGTATTTTATTATTGTTATATAGAAAAATTTCAGATTATAAAAAGAAAAAAAAAATGCAAGAGAACTCTTTTACTTTGATTTTTTCCCTCTCCCAAAGTAATTAATTTTGTTTAATTTTCTCTGTTTAATTTTTTCTCCTTCTCCAGAAACAGTTCTGATCACATAACATCTTCAGCATTTGTTATTGATACTAAGTGTATATTACAGCAGAGGCCATTGCTATCAATTCTTTGCTGCCATGTTAGTGAGATAAGGTAAGACAGATCATTAAGGCTATACAGTTTCCCAAGCACATTTTGATTTAGTGGGGCCAGACTGTATCTATCAAAATGTTTCTGTTGAAAAACCCAGCATTAAATCCTGGATCCTTCATCCCTCCCTGGAGGACTTGATGCTTACAGTGAGCAGGTCTGTGCAAACTTGGAGGATCCTGACTGAAATGGGTCAAGGAATGCAGTGCAAGAGCTTCAGCAGCAGAGGAGAAAACGCTGACAGCCCAGCATGGTAACACCTTCCCTCACACAGCTGCCTATAGAAAACAATAGCCCTGCTCCTCTTAGCCTAAAAAGTTGAAGGCACTGCTACACTCCCCTTCTTAAGCCATTCAATACTGTACACATGGCAGGAAGGTAACATGAGTATGCAATGCAACAAATAATAATAATAATAATAATAATAATAATAATAATAATAATAATAATAATAATAATAATGGAAACTTTTCTTGTTCTTTTGTTCTTTCTTACTATCCCCTCTTTTGTCCTTCCTTGCCTGTGAGATCTTATCTCCTTAAACTGTTGTTTTCATTTGTCTGTCATATCTCTCCTCTCCTCTCCTCTCCTCTCCTCTCCTCTCCTTTCTAGAAGTATTACTGAAACCTTGATTTTTATTCCCAGCATGTACTGTTTAGCAACTAACACTTGTCTAATTTCTAGCAAATATGTTGCAGCTGCACTTTTCTTTTCTGCCTTTTCTTGTCTTTGTGAAGATAAATCATCATCACTCTGTGGCAGGAAAACAGAGAGGTAACTATTCCCATATTTGGCCATTTCTTACCATTGTCAAAATAAATGCTTTCATCTGTGCAACTTAAATATGAAATAATGTCTTCCCTCTTTTGAAACCAGCAAATACTAACAACAGCAAGCTGGCATCTGAAAAGAAAATGAACAATTAAGATGACATTTATGCTTAAAATTCTTTATCACTCAAAGTGAGAGCTCCCAACTCTGAAAACTCCATCTGTACCTTTACATTGGAGTTTATGGAGGTTATGAGGTTATGATAAAAGTGACTGTGACATTCATGTTACTGAGTTGCTGAGGTCAATAGTATTAAATAAAATCTTAGCATCCAAAAAGGGCCAAATGCCGAACTGACCTTAACAGTTGCTACCATGGGCTGCCCATTGAAAATGTATTAGAAGAATTGTGACAGTGTCTGCATTAAAATTTACAGAAAGGACTGTCTTGAGGTCTAAGTGTATTGAGGAAGAAACATTTGGAGTGAGGAGATCTGTTTTCACCACGGAACTTCAGGACAGCAATGAAACAAAGCATGTTAGAAGCTTGCAGCTGAACAGTGAGGACCGTAAGGGAGCTCTCCTCAGACCACTGGGGCTGGCGTAAATAAAAGCAGTAACATCTAAATAATAACATAGAAAAGAATGCTGTGCACTGTTCTGAGTACATGATTTGTGATTCCTGCTGCTAAAAGTGCTTCATACTCGGATTCTTACACCATTACAGCAAATAGGGTTCTGCAGAGCTTCTGCATGAAGATCTGTTTAAATGTCCTCCATTTTAAGCACTTCAAGGAAAGGTTTCTTTTGCTTGTATATTGCCAAACATGAAGGCTGCTTAATCTTCTTTGTTGTCTCTGAACACTGCTGCAGTAGGACTGTTCAGAAATAACTGATACATGCTTCTGGATCGCTTTTTACATTCATTAAGACAAATCAAGTTACATCAAACACTGAGCCAAAGAAAACCTGGAATAATATCTCAAGCTGCTCCATTTTCACACACATCCAAGAAAAATCTTGGCAATTCCATTCAGATTGTGCTCTTTCTTCAAATGGCTGGCAGAGAAGCAGTATTGGCTAATGTGATGTAACAGGCAAGCAACTTACAGATGCAGATGGACTCAAAGACAGCTTCTTTACTGAAATACCTTGATCTAATATTGTCAAGAAAAAAATGCCGCCATAGATGTGGCGTGAACAACAATGGTTTACCAGCTGGGGGTTTTTACCCCTTTCAGTGTGATGTGGAACTTTCCTGCCATACAGATGTGGGAGCTGTTTTCTACTGACCCTCAAAAGTGCTTCAACTCCTGGTCCAGTGTCTGCAACCCACAAGCAGCTTCTGTGCTACCACCATCCCAGGTATTTGTAACTCATCAGGCAGGATGTCCAGAAACACGCCAAGAAGGTGCTGTTGTTTCTCAGCCATGCTTTGCTAACCAAGTGTTCTCTTTGATAGAAATGAGCCCCAGGTCCCCACAAGCCCTGTGTGCACAGCTAGCACAAGCTGCATCAAGATCTGATGCAAGAACATCCTTGTAAGAAGGGATGTTCAGGGTTTGGCAGCAGCCTTGGCCTTGGTTAGAAGCATTTTTGCCATATTAAGAATTCAGGGCTCCAGATATTCCACAGACTTCCCCTGGTGAGCATTTAGCCCAATTTAAAGATAGAAAAGGGGAAGGACCACCTGGTTTGGCCACCTGAAGTTGGACAGGAATTGCAGACCTGCTGTCTTCAGCAGCTGCTCTAAGTCACCAAAAACCATCTATTGAGAATTTCCATTTGTATTTTACATATTGTGTGCTATTTATCAGCGGTAGAACAACATTAGTACTTTTTGTGGCAGTGACACACAGTGAACTTGTATCTGATTATCGGTCTGTGAGAATTCCTGTGTCCTCTTCGGTGTCAGGGCTGTCTTTGACACGGCAGCTCGGGGCGCTGTAGGAAAGAGAATAACTGTGAAACCATAAATAGAAAAGATTGGATTTGATGTGTATTGGCAACGTTCAGACAGAGCCGAACCAGTTTCTCAGGGGATAGATAACACGCCACAGGAGCAGGGCTACCGCTCCACCTGGTGGGCGCCCGGCGGCTCCGAGGGGCGCGGCGAGCCTCGGCCGGCGCCGCTGCGGCCGCGGAGAGCGGCAGAGCCGCTCGGGGGTGCCCTCACTCGGGGGATGCCCCTCAGAGCCAGCCCGGGGTGCGTTGCCTGGGAACGAACCACGATCCTGGGGGATCGCCTTCAGAGGCTCCGCCTGAGACCTCAGCCATCACCGCACAGCCCCTCCCCGGCCCCGCAGCGCCGCGGCGAGGCAGCCAAAGCCGCGTGGAGCACGGCCCCGCCAGGGCTGCGGGAGCCGCCGGCCCGGACGGGCGGGACTACAGGGCCCAGGCTGCCGCGGGCGGGAGGGCGGTGCCGCCACTTGCGCCGCCGCCGTGCCCGGGCTGGGCCCGCCCGCCGCGCCGAGAGCATGGCCGGGTTCGCCGACCTAAACCTGCCGCAGGGAGCGGACAAGAAGTCCCTGCAGAGCCTGCTTGAGGCCGCGGCGCACCGTGAGTCTGCGAGCGGGGCGGGCGGCGGGGCGGGCGGCGGGGCCGGCCCGGAGCTCGGTGGGGCCGAGCTGGGGAGCGCGGCCGGCCCCGGCCAGGAGGGCAGCGGGACGCGAGCGGCGGCTCCCCTGGCACGGCAGGCACTGCCGGAGCCTGCGGGCTGGGGTGGCACGGCCGGACTCCCGGGATGAGCCTTCTCTTCCCTCCGCTTCCCCCGGCGCCGCTCCGCTCAGCCCGCTCAGCCCGCGGCTCTCTGCCAGCACAGTGCCCAGGGCTGGCTCTGCCCGGGACGGGGGCGCAGGGGAAGCTCCTGCTGCGCCTTGCAGCTCTGTCTCTGCCTGCTTGTCCCGGTGTCACAGTTGGTTCTTCCCCTACGTGCACAAGTTTTTCCGCCTGCAGTTTGGGAGGGCCCGGCTCTTTTCCTGCAGAGCTGTTGCGCAGCCATGTGCTGCCTGTGCGGGGTTCGGGGCGGGAGGTTTGAATGCCCCCGGCAGCTCTTCATCCTCCCCAGAGCCTGTGAGCCAAACCTTCTCCGTTCACTCAGCATCGTTTGGAATTCCTGCTTTGCCTTCTCCGGCAGCTGTATCTCTGCCAGCCCTGCGTTATCTGCAGTTTTTAACAACTGTCCTGAGTACACTTAGCAGTTTTCCATAAAGAAAGTCACAAACACGGCCAGGCTAGGCCAGACCTTTGAGGACACCAAACTCATGTATTTGTGTTCATAAAGCTCTGCCATTGAGTGAGAGTTGTCAGGCCAGGGCTATGTTAAAAGCCAAACAGATTTTTTTTTTTTTTTTGTCTATTTCAAAGCACATTTTGGGTGAACCAGTTGTCTTAAAAAATATTGTGAAATCTAAACATGCACGTGATTATTAACTGTAGGACATTTAAGTAATGAGTATTTTACAGTTTTCTCATTGGAATTGTTTTTTACTATATATTGACTAAATTTTTACTGTGTGTTTTTCAGTGGGATATTCTGTAGTTGCACTTAATCATGTCATCGATTTTAAAGAAAAGAAACAGGTAATTTTTCTAGGGGTTATTTGTTCTTACTGTGTTTTCTTTAGTAAATCTGCTGCCTTATTCCATGTTTCCAGATAGCTTTAGCTGCAGAATGCACATCTAGATACAAGCACAAATCTCTGTTTGTAACAAAACTCCCATTTTATATTTCAGTAGAACTGCCTTCGGATTAATTTTTAATATGGTTCATGTACTGTCCCACAAAAATAGTTTCCTTAGTGTGGTAAATTTCTTCTTAAGATTGGAACACAGTTTTTGTTTACGTGTAAACATAACCCGTGACATTTTTAATAACTTTGTTCTGTTCTCTTTCAAGGAAATCATCAAGCCAGTATCCCCTTCAGAGTTGTTTCCATCTTTACCTATTGTACAAGTATGTCTAGTTACATTCTATATATATATACACTGGTATTCCGAGTTACCCTTTTTTACCTTTGTGTGTTTGTATATGGGATTTTGTGTATGAGGTGTTAATCAAAAAAGAAAAATTTGTCCATTATTTCATGGTTCAAACTCCAAGCATTGGAAGAATAGTAAACTCACATCAGGGTAGGCTCTATTCGTTATTTTAGAAATTATTAAAGAAATTGCTTTGTTTGAATTTTGAATCTGCTTGTAGTGGAATAATCACAGTACAGTTCTTGAAATTTAAGTTTCGAAAATAATTTTGTGGTTTTGATGGAGCAAAACTTGGATATAAAGAAATACAATAATATGTTTTGGGTCACTGACATTGATTAATTCAAGAACTGCTTTTCATTGCAGTTGTGGCCTGCCTGGGGAATCATAGCAGTTGTAAATTATACTCAATTTTTTTGCATGGTTGTTTTTCTTTTTTTTCTTTGCGTTCTATTCATCCTTCCCCAGAGAAACACAGTAAGTCGTTCTATGTAAGGACAGGTATAATAGCAAAGAGATAATGTAAATTAGGGAAGTGTAACTACAAACTTTAGAAAATTAGTATAGCAAGACTATAAGCATGACACCATTTTCTTTTTATAGCAGACTGGGTGGAAATTACCACAAATTTTTGCATTGGGTTATTAATTTTTTTTTATATTATTCTTTTTTCTGTAGGGGACATCTAAAAGAATTAAAGTCTTGACCCGGCTAACACTTGTTGTTTCTGATCCTTCCCACTGTAATCTCTTGGTAAGTATACTCAGCAATCAATTTTGCAACTTTTATTTCCTTTTCTTAATGAATGAATGAAACTGGAAATTCCATGGGGACAGCATCCTGGAATTTATAGGGCACTCAGAAGTGGTTTCTGAGATTGCATCTCTAGCAAGTAATGTGATCATGAGGAGATGCAGACTTACAAGAGTGTATATGGCTTCTGTTGATCATTTGTCAATATGGAAAAATAGTTCTGTTCCTTGGTTTCTGGACTTCTGTGCATGAACTAGAAGACCATGAGTAACCCTTGCATCTGGTTATGTTTTTGTGCTACAAGATCAAAGCAAAAAGTGTGTCTTAATAAATTGCTGGGACAAGCCTCAAATTGAGAATAAATGACTTCATTGTAGAAACCTGCTGTGTAATCTGATGATTATTGGCTTTGTTTTAATACTTGACAGGGAAAAAGGATTTTTTTTACTCATTGTTTTGGTTGTAATCATTGTGCATGTCAGAATTCAAAGTAGTAATTGTTTCCTCCTTTTATAGAGATCAACATCTGCAAACATAAGGTTATATGACATCATAGCAGTATTTCCAAAAACTGAGAAGCTGTTCCATGTAAGTACCATCATCTCATCAGTAATGCTCATTCAGTAGCCTTTAGTGCCTTGTGCTAATTTAAGTACATGCTTTGTTTTGATTTTATTCCCCATTTATAAAGGCCTCATGGAGTTAATCAAACATTATAGGCTGCCTGGGCAGTTGATGGGCTGAGGGGTTTGGGAGGATTTGCAGGAGGCTGCAGGGCCCTGAGGTGACAGGTTAAAGTCTGAAATATCTACCTTGTCTGCATGATGGAGGGACTTGTATGCCCTGCACTGTGGTTGCCTTTATGTGCCTTGTACTCTAGTGAGGAGAGAAAACATTCTTTTTTCCCCTCCAATATACGTGTACTATCACCATGTAGAAAACTTCTGTCTCCAGCTTTAACTTCTCAAACTCTTGAAAACTTCCCTAAAATGCGCTTTTGATCTTCTGTTAAAACTAATTATTCCTCAAAAATGCTAGGGAGGATTTTAAAGTGGAACTAATGTGGTTCTGTGAGTTACCTGGTAGCTGTTCAGCTCCATTTCCTTCATATTTTATTCAAATTGTTCTGAAATACTTGATAACAGCTGATGTCGATGTTCTGATTTGGTGGAGCACCTTGAAAGAAGTTATGTTTTTGTCAGAATTTTTCTTACAAAACCCAAAATTGTGATATCTGATCTGTTGTAAGCTTGTAAATATTAAGTCTGAATTGGGTGAGTAGGTGGAAGTGTTCCATCTCTGTTAGCCTTGGCAGGCAGACATGCAGTTTAAAGCAGTGTGAAGGAGGGGCAAGGACAGCAAAAAAAAAAGGTGAGTTTCTTTGAAGAATTTACTTTCAAAGGGAGCTTCTCAGTTTAAAATTGAGTCTGGTGGTTGTTTTTTTAAAATAAGTTAAAGCCACTTTCTAGTACTGCTGAATACCCGTTTTGCTACATTAAAATTGCATTATTCTGTTTTGTTTTTCTACATTATTTCCCCTCCTATTTCAAGTCTTGTCCAAGTAAACTACAAAGCAGGAGCTGTCAAAGAGTATGAACTTTAGAGAATTTTTCAGCAGAATTCAAACATTAATTATAAGAGTTACAGCAAAATTAAACAAATTCCTGAATTTTATTTCCCTTGAAAGATTTTAGGACTCTTCAGGGTGTGACAGAGGCAAATGGTTTTAAATATTTTTTGTTGGCCACTCTCCACCTCTTTCTTTTGATCTCTGGCAATAATGTAAAATCTCATTTCTCAAGTGAGCTCAATCAGTTTATCATGTGCTTAACAAGCACCTGAAACTAGGTGATCAGCTGGGGTGTGCTGTGTTGTTTTTTTGGGAAAAGGTGTTCTCTCACTTAGGGTTATTATTGTTTCTTTTCAGCCATATCACGCCTCCTGCTGCAGTTGCACATCCAGCTGTGGCAGCGTTTAAGCAGCCACTCATTTCTGCAGTCCCTGGCTGCTTTGCTGAGCTGCTTGCTTGCTCAGCTGCATGGCAGCTTGCTTGGAGGAGCCTGCTTTTGGCTGAGCAGTAACCAGAGGTTTTGCCAAGTTCTTTTGCAGGCAGATCCCCTTTCCCAGAGTGATTCAGCAGGCAGCCCCACGGAGCTGTGCCAGCACAGAGCTGTGCTGTGCTCTGGCAGGGCAGTGCACACAGGGCCTGGCTAAGCTGACACTCTGGCAGGTGATGGGCAGGCTGTGAGGAAACAGGCAGGATTGTCAGTGAGATTATCTCCATTGCTTCCATGCTGGCAGCACTCTGAGCTGGGGATGGAACCCAAGCGTGTTTCTCGCAAAGTGCATGAGGTGAAAGACTTCATTCATCCTTCGCATTCAGGGCAGGTTTGTATGGCTGCCTTTTGTTTAGAGATTTTAGAATGTCTCACTGTGGAGAGCTGATTCAGTTTCACAGAGGTATCACAGAGGTGAAAAGGACTTTACACAGGTGGTTTCAGCACATACAGTTTGCCTCTTACAACTCATGGATATTTCATTATTAAGAATAAAGCCTTCAAGAGTTGGTCTTGCATGACAAATTAACTTCCTATTGGCTTTTGGTAACTCAGCATGAGCTCAAGAGCATCATCTTTCTCACCAACAATTTGGCACTTATGTTTTCTCCATAGAACAAGATTTTTCATGTTTTTGTGAAAAAATTACATGACCCTTGGAGGTGTACTCCAATTTTAGCATGGCCCAAAACTAGTCTGTGCCCTTTTGTCACAAGCCAGGGAAGCTCTTTTGTGGCTGAATGTGGCAGTGATATGTACTGAAAGATGTCCTCAAATTCTTCAAATAATTTATATCCTTTAGGGGATGAGGAGGCCATGTTTGCCATTTGTAGAATGGGCTCCTTGTTTAAGTCTCCCAAAAATATTGTTTTGGCCTGCAGCAGGAATGCCCACCCCATGCAGGTAATAGGGTCTGTACTTGCTGCTTTTAAAAAATGTTGCTAAGATTTCTGATTGTTTAAATGATGTTAGTTAGCTCTGTCTGCTGGTTTTAAGCACTTAGCACATGACTAGTGTCTAAAAAAGCCTACATATGTACATCTGAAGATGTAGTACAAAGTCAGATTTCAATGTTTATTCCTAAAACGTTTGCCAAAGCTTGCTTCAGAGCCCCCAGACAGTGGCAGATGTATTTATTAATGGCTGGCTGGAGTTCTCCCAGCAGATGGGGCTCTTGCCCACAGTGCTGCCAGGCAGCTGCTGGGCTGTGCAATTTGCTGCATCTCATTTTCTGGATGAAGTTGTTGCACTTCAGATCTTTTCAGCAGCCAGGGTAGCCTTAGCTTGGCTGCATGTTTGATTTGTCTGGGAGCCAGAGCTAGGCTGAATATTAGAGTTCTTGGAGAAATCTGCTCTCCAGTTTTTCATGCAGTGCAGGAATTCCTCATATGTGAGGAATATGGCTCGTAGTTTGGTTTTCCTTGGTGGTATCTTCTGACATGTTCATGTCACTGGAATCCTGTAGATATCCTGGCTTTTGAGTCACTCCCTGTCCCACTGTGCTTAATTTGCAAAATGGTGAAGAGTTTCCCAGTGTTTCTGGAGCTGATTAGGAAGGCTTGATTTCTCATCAAATAGGACAACTTGCATGTGTCTGATGTCTATTCTTGCCTTCTTTAATTTTTGCCATAATCTCTTCCTGAATTTTTTATGACCTTGCTGACATATTTTCTAGGGCATGATTCAGAGCTATTTGTTCTGTGCATGTTCCCATAAATCACCTCAGTGTAGTAGTTTGTACCTCATGTAAGAAAAGGAGGGAAGCTGACTGTAGTAGGACTAAACTTCCTCTTGGAAATCTAATTCCATGCCATAGATTCCACAGGCAGCCCATGTCCTGCCTAATGGAGGATAAATATAAAGGTAGGGCATGAAGAAAAATTTCAGTCTGAATGTCCTGGCAAAGACATTTCAACTTCAAAAACCTTGGTGGTGGTTTGCCTGCCTGTGTGCTGTGGCTGTCTTGTCTAGGAGACAGTGCTATCAACAGCTAAGAAACATTCCTAAAGATGGGCCTGTGCTCTCATCTCCATCCAAATTCCATGTGAACAGACTGGTAGAAGACCAGTTTGCGAAGCAGCAGTGTGCCTTGTGTTAGAGCAGCCCTCACCCCTGGGGCTCCTCACAGCCCCCACTGCTTTTGTGCCAGTGGGAGGAGGGATGAATGGTTGGCACCTGGCCCAGGTGTATTTGGAGCAGTTGCTGCCAGGTTTCTGAGTGCAGAGAGTTCCCCAACACAGAAAATTCCTTTTCAACTTCCCCATCCTGTCTTACCTTTTTTGTTACAGCACTGCTTACAGACATTAGTCTAGCCCTGTGTAATCATCCTTACAGAGTAGGCATATATAATTCCTACCTTGGGTGCATGAGATTAATGTCAATCAAGGACTCCCTTTTAGGGCCCCTTAATTTGCCCTGTATCTCAGTGTGAGGAGTCTCTGCCCCTTGTTCATTTCCTCTGTCTCTTAATACAACCTGTAAATTGTGGTGTGAATTCAAAGCTACATTCTTAAACTGCAGCCTTCAGTGCTGTCTCCAGACTCTGCCAGAGGTGTGGCTCTCAGGAGGAGCTGCACCCAGCCAGCTGAGGGAAAGGGAGGCTCTGAGGATTGGTCTCCAGCACCAACAGTCACATTCTGCTTTTTTCTATGCTTTGCTCTATTGCTTCTGATAAAAGTAATTAATCCTGAAAACAAACAGGTGCTGCTCTGGAAGCAGAGCATGATGGTACAAGGGGCAGTTCCTGCAGTCTTCCCTTTCTAAACTGGGGTTGGTCTTTATTATCTGTGAGTTCTTTTGTCAAAAGCCAACATTGCTTCTGCATGTCCTCTGTCAGACAAAAACAAAGAAGTAAGTACTGCTTTGGGGTTGACCATTGTTTTATTGGAAAATTAGTTCTATAAGAAAGGGAAGACTTGGGTTTTTAAGTCTCAAATGCTGCTGTTGTATTGGCATACCTGCAATGCACAGTACCTCTTAATTTTAAAACTGAACTCACCCTGGAGAGACATTTGTTGCATTAAGAAATGAAGGAGAATATTAGTGCACCTTAAGTTAGTTATGTATTTTTTGGCATATCTAATAATTTGTTCCTATTTCTTTGCTGTAGATTGCTTGCACAACACTAGATGTGGATCTGGTCTGCATAAATGTAACAGAAAAGCTGCCATTCTACTTCCGAAGGCCCCCTGTGAATATGGTAAATTTACATCTAAATTGCACTCTTGCTGTTAGACTGACATTAAATACAAAATCTGAGTCAAATTCCCTACTGCTTTCCACCCACCATTCCTGTCCAAGTGGTTCTTTTATTTTCTTGCATAATGTATAGTTTTGTTTCAAATATCCTTCACTTCAGGGCCTCCACTGTAGCACTTAATACACATTGATGTATGTTCTTTCTTTTTCTCCTCCTGTCCCCCACTTAAGAAGGCAGAAGTGGTGTTCCCAAGGAGTGGAAACAGAGCCTTCAGGCCACTGTGCTGCTAAGCAGGGAGATATGGCGTGATTGCTGACAAAGCTGCTTCCCAAACCAGAAATGGTACAGCTGTGTCAAAACAGATAAACAGCCCTTTGATTTAAAAGACAGGAAATGTGAATGGCAGTGTCAATTTAGGAGAAGGATGTTGTGCTGGTTACTTGAAAGACAACTGTATTGAATCCATACTTGGACAAAAGAATGTCTTGGTAAATGAACCCAGTGTAGCATTGCTAAATATATGCTGTGGGACCCAAGATGGCTATCAGTGTGCATCAAATATAGTTCTGCCTGCTGTTGGTAGTTTGCCAGAAAACTTAATCCGAGCGTGCTCTTATGGGAACTTGTTTTCTCCTCTGAGTGTATGTAAAGGTTCATTCCACATGGGCATTCTTGGCTGATGTAGAACTTAATTCTCAAAATTTTAAATTTGGAATTGGCTAGTAATCCTACTTCCTTTTTTTATAAAGTTTGACCTAGAATAAAAATTCAAAATTAACTAGAATTAATTCTGAGACAGAATAACAATAATACATTGGCATTTATGGTAAACTGAGGATTTCAACATTCCACTTGGAATAACAATTTTGTATGAAACACTGTATGAAAGAACCCTAGCTGTCTCAAACTGCAGCAGCTGGCCCAGGTAAGGAGCTGTGTGGCTCTTAGAGCCCTGTGTTGGGAGACATTTTCCTTGCAAGCTACCTCTCATTTTCCACAGTCCCAGCCTCAAGGCAGTCTGTCTGTTGGGCAGGTCTGCGCATCCTGGGGCAGTCAGTTCTGGTTGTTACAATGCCAGACAGATAGGCAGGCAGCTGAAGTGGTAGGATGAGGTTAAAAACTACCTTGACTGGAAATTGGTGTATTGCCATCATCTGTTTGGTTTTGATGAATTCAGGCTTCTCTTGTTTGCAGCTATCAGGCCAGATCTATGTAAAACATTTGATTCATGTGTAGCTTCTGTTGTGCTTGCATACAGAGGTCATGCATGGGTGGGAGCTGGATTAATTCCAGCTGTATTCAGTTACTGGACTCTCTTACAGTATTACCATTGCAGCCTATTTTAATAATATTTTGTAAGAGTAGAGTATCATTTCAGGCAAATGTAGGATTGCCGTGGAACAAAGAACTCCTGGCCTTACGTTGTGTCTTTATTGCTAGCACAGTGTGTGCAAGCTTATTAACCTTTCTGTGTTTGCAAAAACAAGGATACTGGGCTTTTGGTGAGGCACAGCAAAGAATGTCAAAGCAGCTGAAAACATAACCAGTATTACTATTTGAAACCTCTTCTGTGATTCAGTGTTTTCTAACATTGTCACAAACACCAGAGTATGTGTGAGACAGGAGAAGGGTCCTCGTTGCTGCTTTTGTGCAAGGTGGAATTCTTAATCTGCAATACATGGCTGCTGAGGGAAGTGATGATCTTTCTTACAGCAGGGTGTGGGACTAGAGGACTTGGGTCCTCAAAGTTTCAAGACAGCAGATTACCAGCAATGGTTATCTGTCTCCTTGACTCTGACTGTGTGTATATATTAGTGATAGCCAATTACAGCAAATAAGTGGTTTGTTTGTTAAACCTCATTTATCTGTCCAAGATTTATGCACACGTATCTGGTGTACAGTGAAGCCTTCCCCCACTCTCCTTTCATGCTATGCTGTGCTCTTACTGGAACAATTCTGCCTTATTTTTTTTGTATGTGACACAGTTAAAGTGAGAGTAAGCTGCATCAATAACAGACAGCAGTTGTTAGATTGTTAGGCCTTTTGATTTTTGATCACTCTCTTTCATGTGAAGGCAATAGATCGAGGCATTTACTTTGAACTTCTTTACACGCCTGCCATCAAAGACTCTACTATGAGAAGATACACAATTTCAAATGCCATCAGCCTGATGCAGATCTGCAAAGGAAAGGTAAGTTCTCAAAGTGAAAACAAGGTAATTAAATCAGTTCAAATTTTTCTGGAGTTGTACAGACTGAGCCATTTTAAATGAGTTTGATGCTGGGACATCTGAAGCTGTGACTAAATCTTGGCCTACTAACACAAGGACACAATCACTGTAGCTCCAGATACTTCCAACTCTTGAACCACTGCATGCTTTCTTCTTAAGCTGTCAAGCTGTTAGATTCTTTTTCCGGAGCAACCCATGTGAGGTTATGGTATGCAATTCCCAAAAACAAAGGTGGGAGGGTATGGAGGGAGATTAAAGTGCCAGACTTCTAGGGTTTGCACTAGAACTGAAATTCATGTATTTCTTTAAAATCTTCCACTTCATATTTCTCATTAAACAAAAGCTCTCTTGACTGCCTACTTTAAATATGGGGGCTAAAAAACAATTTAAAAAAAAGTAGAAATCTTGTTTTGTTAACAAGTAAATTCTCTGGGTCCAAAATAGACCAAACAGCTAGCTGGCTGTTGGCCAAGGCTTTGCTGCAGTCAGATGAGCTGCATTCTTCCATGCTACTGAAACCCAAGGAAGAAGTAACTTTGGGATGCCTGTAATCATTGCTTTCATAACTTACCTCCTCCCAGGCTACCAGGTTAAGCTGTCTGTGTCCTCTCAGGCCATGCTTTTTAATAGGGGGTCATATCAAATTTAACAGAAATTGTAGCTCCCTCTTCTGTATTGTAAATGGCCTCTGCCACATGTAGCTAGTCCAGAGAAGCTGGATTTGGAAAATCTGAAGTGGGATGCAGAGCTTGGAAGGTAAATTTAAAGCAGATCCGTCATTACCTCCATCATGGCAGCTTTTCTAGAACAGCAGGTGGGTCAAACAGATTCGTTCCTTGGTGCTCCAGAGGAGGTGAGTGTTTGCACAGCCTCTCCTGAGAAGCCCAGCTCTGGCAGGTAATAATATGAAGTACTGACTTGGACAGGACTTCTATACACACCAGACCACTTTCCCTTGGAATTCCCTTTTTGATACTGCTCCTCTTTCCTCTGTGCAGTTCAGGATGTGCTTCTCACGTGGTTGTTGATGAACTGGAGAGCACCAGCTGTGTTGGTATCACGGACAGGGCAAGTGAGATGTTCAGGCTCTGTCTGTGCACGGTGCCCTTTCACTCTGCCTCTGCCAGTCAGGGTTTCATCTGTGACTGGAAGGTAAAGCAGCTGGAGCTGCACGGGACAGGTTGTTGTCAGGCACTGGAAAAGGACTGCTAGCTTGTCTTTGTTCTTTGCCTCCAGACTCAGTAGGCTGTGGACCAGCAGAGATGGTTATTAGCCCTACTGAGAGTTCGCCTCTGTCAGTGAGGTGGAGGCCCTTGTTTCAATGGAACATGGGATGGCTGGTCCCTAGGCTGCTTCTGTTGGCACCTGGCATGCAACTCTCATGTTCTGTAATGTGTAGTTGCTCAACCCATAGTAGCTTTTGGATACTTTTATTCTATGTCTATTATAACAGTGCAGAGAAACCTTCAGAAATTTACTTGTGTTTTGAGAACTGGCATTGAGCAGTGTCTTTAAAACATTAAAATGTGCAGGGAATGAAGGAGAAACTCCCCTGCCTTGCCAGACAGAAGGTGTGTATAGCCACAGTCCCTCACCTGCTGTGTTTTGGTAACTGAGTTGGAGGCTGCCTGGAGCAATGTACTGAACAGCTGCTGTCTGCTTTACCTGGGGAGATAGTGTTTTGCCTTTTAAATTTGCCTTTAGCTCTTGCCTTGGATTTGCCTTTGCCTGCTGCTCTTCACTTGCCAGCAGTGCTTTTCTTACCTGCTCTTGTGTCCCTCCTCCATGTTACCCGTCCCCTAGTGAAAGCCGTTGAACCAGGCAGAGCGTATCTCCAGTGCCCAGCAGTGATCCACAGTCCTGTGCTGGCTTCAGATGGCTCACACAGCTGCTCTGGGAGCTCCTCTGAGCCTGGGTGACAGGCATCAGTTGCTACAGTTTGCAGCAGGAAACTTGAGTTTTCCCAGCAAACTCTTGCAGTCAGCACCACTTATGCCCAAAAGCACCTCTGGGATCCACAGTGTAGTTGTTTTAAAGATGAGATATTCAGAAAACACAATGTCCTAGGCTCCATCAGGATGTGTGCTGTTAAGTCACTTTGATGTATGTACTGTATATATTGTTTCTGCTTCTGGCTTTCCTTGTGGGGAGGCAGAGTCAACTGTCCCATGCTCTTCTCCTCAGCACATGAGGAAACCTGGGGCACACTGAACATGCAGCCAGCTTTACACAGGTTTTTCAGCTGTTGAGGTCTAGCTGCACACAGGGCATTTTCTTCCAATATCTGCCCAGCTCTTTGTGCTATGGAGGTGGCAGAGGAAGCAGAGCAGTGTGGGGAAACCCTCACCCTGAAACCAGAGCTGGGTGATGTGTTGGTGGTACTGACATCAGAGGGGGAAAGTCTGTCTCTGCATCAGCACAATTCTAATTCTCACCCACTCAAGCAGGAATTCCCAAAGCCTTTTATTGAGTATAATAAAAGGTGCAAGGAGATTTTGCTGCTGCATAGTTACCAGCTGAGCCAAGCAGGCCCACCTAGGTGAGCATCCTTGGGGCTTAGCATCACAAGAGCTCTGGCAGCTGAGCTATGGGATCTGCCAACCCCACTGTAGTCACATGCCTCTTCTGCAGAAACCTTTTAGGAGAGAAGGGAGAAGGATTTCTCTGCCTGGTGATTTTCATAGGGGTGCCAGTGTTAAGGAAGAGGAGTGTGTGGCACAAAGTGGCAGCCACTGCCTAAGTGTAGATACATTTCCTGAGCAAGTGTGGGTATGGTCAAGGCTAACACAAATGCTTAGCATTGAGTGGTACTGCAGCAGTACAGACTGAAAATCTGGGAGCACCAAACTGTCTCAAGGCACTACTTGTAATCTGCTTCTGGGGAATCCTGGACTCCTAAATCTATTTCTCTTACAGCTCAGGGTGAATTGTTTATGTGGGGCCTTTTTCAGCCGGTGTAAATAGAGGGGACACTTGTTAACACAGTGCCTGCAGCTCTGCCTTAAGGGCACTTTGAAGTCCACTATGAGAAATGCAGGCTGATAGGTGCTTGCTTAATGCCATCACTCTGGACACTTACACTGCTTAGCCTGTCACTCTAAAATGAGATGTGCTTACTAATCTCCTGTCTGGCTGTGAGAGGTTTGTAATTGCAAGGGAGGGCTTGTGCCTGTGCCCCTGTCTATGTAGGGGACAGAGCAATAACTAAGTTTATCACGTCCCTAAATTAAGATTCCCACCCTGACAGAGTTCATCTGAGGGCATCAGATATTCTGATGTTTAATTGGGCTCTGAGCCTGAACTTAACTAATGCTCAAAAAATTTTTTGCATCTTGCTGATTTTTATTTCATTTCTTGGAGCCGTCTGACAGATGAATGTTTGTACTCTTTTGTTTTCCAGAACATAGTTATATCTAGTGCAGCTGAAAGGGTAAGTCTTGGATTTTTTTTTTAGAAATCAGAACAAATTGAAGATTTATCTGTGGCTGAAAATACAGCTTTAATTACACATTAAATATAAAAATGTATGTTTAAATATGGTTGCCATTACCAAAGAATTGTATTGTGGGTTTTGGTACTTTTTTTTGGTTAGTTGTTTTGTTTTGTTGGTTTTGGGGGGATTTTTTATTTGCTGTTGCTGTGGTATTTTTCATGACAGTTTTGTCCCAGATGGACACTCTGTCTGTCGAAATAGTGGTATTTGCTTGATTTACTGTTATGTTCAGTAGCTTGCTATTATATAGCATTTAATCCTGCCTATCTGATAGCCTTGCCCTGCCTGCTCACACTGTCAGCCTAACAGCAAAGGCATTCACATATCCAAACTTTGTTTTGTTTTAGCCTCTAGAGCTCCGAGGTCCTTATGATGTGGCTAATCTGTATCCTTTCCCAAAGTCAAAGGCAGCAGTTAGTAGTAGCATTGGAAAGTTCAAAGTGGTTTTGAAATTCTTTTCATCCTTTACAGTCCTTGAACTTTGTACAGTGGTACTTGCTGGTGACCCATTCAGTGAACCAGGGCTCTGAGTGTGTGGAAGGAGCAACAGATCCTGGTCATGGGGTGGCATGAGAAGTCACTGTGACTACTAATGTTTGTGTTCAGCTCCAGGAATGTTTTGTTGTGATGTGTATTAATGTTGTGTGGGTGTAAATGGAGAAATTAATAAAACCCATAAAAATCTAAGGACACTATGAACCAAATGAGAAATTATTACTTAGTATCTCCAAAGTGTCACATTTTTGGTAGCAGAAGCTATAAAATTGGTTTCATGTAAAATTAAAAGTCTTTATCTGAGCAGTAACTACTTCTGGTCTGGATTTTCCAGTCCTTAGTTATACATGTAATGTTAAAAAAAACTTGTGTTCTAGAAACAAAGGAGAGTGTATTTTCTTCCCTTCTTTTAGGAGTTCAGATGCATTTTTGTTACTCTCCCCACCCCTGAAGCACATATTTGGCCTGTCCCTGGAAGGCAAGGAGCATGCTCTGAGTCATGAGAGCCGTGTGGGAGGCTGTGTGGCCTGGAAGGATTTTATGCACAACGCTTTTTCTTCCCTCTAAAAATGAGCAGTCAGGCTCAAGCCAAATTAACACAGCTAAGGTGGTGTCGTCCCTGCTAAAAGTGGCTGGAAACTTCAGCATAATGCTTTAGTATCAGACTGTCCCCAAAGATGAAATTTTCTTGGGGGTAATTTTTTTTCTTGATTATGCATATCTAAAATGTTTCTGTGTTGACAGACTTTTATTTTCAAAAGTACAGCTTCTTGTCTGGAAATAAACAACATTGCCAGGAGCTTTCCAGGAGGGCTGCTGGGGAACTGCAGCCAGGAGAATTGGGTGCCTCATTACTGCTTCTGGGTAACCTTATGCAAAATGTCACTTTGAGTTACAGCTTTGCTAATTCCCAGTTATTTGTAGAGTAAGCAATCCTGTCGTGCAGAGAGCCTTCCCTGTTGTGTGTGGTGCTTCCTGTGTGTTTGATCCTGAGCAGCAGTGACAGAGGTTTGCTGTTTGGCCTGTCAGAAGGTGAAGCAAAGGCAGCTGTGTCCACCAACTGCAGAGCCACCATGCTGCATGGAGGTGAGCACTTGGAAGCTCCTGTAAATAATGTGTGCATTTGTTAAACTGAGTTCTTGTGGATGCATATTCTGCAAAAGGTCTGAGACCTTACACAGCAGGTCAGATCAGGGTTTTACTTCTTTGTCCAATGCATGAAGAGGAGCTTGTGTGGCAAGGCTGTTTCATTTTCCCTCGTTGCCATGTTGGCAAATCAGTGGCTGAACTGGTGGTGCTGTCTGTGCTGGAGGACTCGTGCAACCACATTAATGAGTCAGAAAGGATTGAACCAAAATAGGAACCTGCCGCTGTGCTTCGTAGTGAAACTGCCCCATTTCAGAAAGGTTGGAATGCTGATCTTAGTGACACTCAAAAAAACTCAGTGATTGAAGTCAAAAAATGGATATGCATGTGTTTTGCATTTGCCTTTTTGCAGCATGTGTGCAGAAGCACCTTAGTCATGTCCCTTTCTGATGCTTTAATACGTGGATTATTTCTGACTCACTCTTCAGTGTGTATCATTTCAAACTCATGGAAAAATCAACAGGTTCTCCTCCAGCCTGCGGCTCATCTACATAGAAATACAGAGTTTATCAAATTTGTGTGAGATTTCTCAAGCCTGTCATCTATCTTATCTGTGAAATTAAATAGCAAGTGTCATTTCCCTTGTCCCAGAGAGGATACTAGCCCAGAATAAGTCGATATATTTTGTCAAGGTTCTTGCAGAACCTCTCTGCTAATAGAGTATTTGTAGGGAATAGAGACTCTCTTCTAACTCAAATTTTGCAGAGAAGCTTCCCACTAGTAATTACAAAATTGAATTGGGCTCAGTAGGTTATTGGACCAGTATTTCATGATAATGTTGAGAGTTTAATAAATAAAATTCTTGAATACCATAAAATACTTCCTTGGTATGTAGGGGATCCTCTGCCAATACAATTGTGCCCACATAGTCTAAGAATCCTGGGGTATGTGAATGCATTTTTTAGTGTTTTTTTAATAACAGTATGTTTGGCTCAGAAGTGCTTTTGACAGTGCTTCAAGAATGTGTCCTTCTGTGATTACTGAACTGACTAAGCCTGGTTTCCTATGGTTTTGTGTCTCTGCAGCTCCTCAGCCCCTGCAGACCTTGGTTTTCCTTAGTTTGCTATAATTCTACACCCACCATTGTATTTCCCCCAGTATTTTCTCCACTCTGTAATGCAGTGAATCCCGAGCTCCTGCCCTTGCAGGTTGCTTCCCTGCTGTGTGTGCTGACTGGCTGGTTGCTCATCATGTCCAGCTGTGGTTTGGGGCATGGACACCTGAACTGAGTATGGCTTAAATGCATTTTATTTCAGCATTTGAGGTGCTGGTACTGCAGCCTCTGCTTGTGTATTCCAGAAACTCGAAAGAGTGCCTGTGGCGTGGTGTACACAGTGAAGAAGCCTCGCAAGGTGGAGGAAGAGGAAACAGCAGAGAAACCAGCCTGCAAAAAAGCTAAGACTCAAGCTTGAGGACTGAACAAGTTGTCAACTTGAAAGCCTCCATCTCGTCTTTACCCAGTGTTGAGTCTTCCTCCAACCAATCTTATTTTTCCCTTACTACCTTGCTCAGCCTGCAGAAGAGTTATTCTTCCAGCATTCAAGTGAGGAAAACTGTGAATGAGACTGCTGAATAGTGTTATCTGAAAGGTCACATTTGAAAGGTCATGCTGGGCTTCTGGCCAAGGGCAGGAGACTGACTCTTCACCCTCCCTTAGGTGTCCTGGAGTTAATGCAAACTCAACGGAACATTTCTAACATGGAAGTTTTTACTTGTACACATACATTCCTTTTTTATTAAAAAACATGTCTAAGAACACATGCCTTCATAGTCTAGCTCTTCTGGTTTCTCAAGTTTTGAACACATCTCTGTACACCTGCAAGCCTGTAGATGAAGTTTACCTTCAAGTGGCCTGTGAAGAAACTTTTCAATCAGCTCCTGAAGCACTGTATCTAATAAAGTTTCTTCTCCCCCTGTTTCCTGAAGCACATTGGCCACTTGGGTGCCTGAATGATTGAACTGCTGCTCAGTTAGGTGATGAACAGACTGAGTTAGCCAGCACTGATGTCATTTCTGTTTCCTGCCAGGCTTGCTGCCTGTGTGCAGGTAATTGGGCAGAAACAAGCAGGAAGGTTGTGGCTTGCAGCACAGGGCAGCAGGTGGAGGTGAGCTGTGATTTCTGTGGAGAAGGATGTGAGCGCACATCAGGCCTGTGGCTGCCAGGGTGGCACTTGTGAATTACAGTGCTTGTGTGGGAAAAGTCTCATCTGTCTGAAGCTGTTGGCCTCAGTCTAGGAGAGCTGCCTGCTGACAGAATAGGCGATTCTTCTGCTTGTTCCTCCGGATTTTGTGCAAATTCACTCCAAAATTGGCATTCCAAGAAAACCTATACATTGCTGCCCACTTCTGACTCCACCTCAGGATAGTGCCCAGGACATGGCTTTGGCCAGACTATAAAGCCAGCTGACTTGGGTTGGTGGAGGAGTGTGAGAGTCTCTGGCATATTTGTCTGTCAGGCCACCCAGTGGATAATCAGGCATTTAACTGAATGCAGCATCTTAATACCCCTCTGCTCTGCTCTCTCCCACCTGGAATGCTGTGTCCTCAGCACAGGAAGAACATGGAGCTGTTGGAGTGTGTCCAGAGAGGGCCACAAAGCTGGAAAGAAGGATGGAGCGCTTCTGTGTGGAAGCACTGAGAGAGCTGGGGTTGTTCAGCCTGGAGAATAGAAGGCTCCAGCACCACCTTGCTGGGGCCTTTCAGTATTTAAAGGGACTTACAAGAAAGATTACTCCAGAATATTCATCAGAGCCTGTTATGATAGGACAAAAGATAATGGGTTTAAACTAAAAAAGGATGGATTTAGTTAGAATACAAGAAAGAAGTCTTTTACAATGAGGGTGGTGAAACACCAGCACAGGTTGCCGAGAGGTGGTAAATGTCCTATCCCTGGAAACATTCAAGGCCAGGTGGGACTGGGTTTTGAGCAACCTGATGGTGTTGAAAAGGTCCCTGCTCATTGCAGAAGGGTTGGAATAGATGAGCTTTAAAGGTCTCTTCCAGCCCCAACTGTTCTGTGACTGTGACATGGGACATCTTGCCCTGGCTGGCAGCCCTGAATGTTGTCCTGCTTCTGCTAAAGCAAAGGGAGAAGTGCCTGCCTTTCCTAACAGGACTTGGCATCTCTCTTGGCTTGAATAACTGGAGCTGTCTCATGCTCCACATAGTGACTAAGAAAGAGATGATATTTTTTAAATCAAACTCAATAATGGAACTGTAACTTTGTTTTACTAGCTAGTTGAAATGCTCTCTTTCTGCTTTCACATGTGCCTCCACTTAACAAAATAAGTGAGATGGGGTTTATCTAAGAGTGGCAAGGAGGGAGTGTAAGGGATGGCTGCTCTTGACAGCTGAGACTTAAGTTTTTTAGGAATTTTGCAGCAGACATGATGTGAACTTCCTTTAAAGAGAGACAAAATTACCCCATGCATGCTCACCACTCCAGCAAGTAAAAAGAACCACTCAGTTAATTTATTCTGAAATGGATCAGTTCAAAATGTACAGAAAAAGCAGTACAAATTTACAAATATACATAATCTGATTTTGCATTCTTCTATCATCATACTTTGTAGTAGTCTAGTTTTTAAAAAATTCACTTCCCTGATACAGTCTCCTCTGACCTTCACAACATTACATCTGAATCCTTCAGTCCAAAGGGGTACATGGTGGTTGGAGCTCTGTCCTCAAGCTCGTTATCAACCACGATTGCCAAACCCTGTGTAAACACCATTACTCAACTGCTTCATTAAATCCTCTTGGCACCTCAGTACACCTCCTTCCAGTGCTCTTCCACATACCACCACTCCATTCACAGGTTATTTTAGCAGTGAGACAAGGCAACAGCTGCAAGTATTTGCTATTTAGAGCTATTGGAAGGCTTGAGAAAACTTGCTACTACAGTTGAAAATTCTGCCATTTAAGACCAAAGGATTTATGTTGCTGGCAAAAATTGCATTTAGACCAATTGCACCTATAAAAAAAAGCTTAAATAACATCATTAAAAATTACTTTTAAATAAATAAATAATAAATAGAAATAAATAAAGCCATTTTAGAACTAGTGGAATTTTAACACTCAACCTGTCTTTTAAAATAATTTCTTTGCAGGTTCTTTGCAGTTTCAGTGAAGGCACCTCAAATAATCCAGTGCCATAAATATTTTCAATAGATGTTCAAGGACATTTTCATCCAGGTTTGTGGGCAGCATTTCAAAGCAGCAAAAGGGTGTGGTCTGGTTTCTCTCCTCAGAATTTACCTAGACGGGCATTCTTTTTGGAATTGTCTTTCAGGCTGTTGAATATCTCTTTGGTGCCATTCTGCCACTGAAGGACAAGATCCATAGGAGTTTTCCCTTCCTGGTTAAAAGAAACAGAGAAATATTTAATTTCATCCAATGATGGCCAAGTGCTTGTTCTTTCCTAAATATCTGTTCAGTGCATCTGCACGATGTGAATCCCTTCTGCACACACAGACTTATTCTTGCACCTCTGGGGTCAGAGTATTTCTGCTCTACAGATCTAGTCCCAGTCCTGGTCAGACCCATGATGAAAACTGCCTGGGTTTCAGTGGGTTTAGACAAAGGCTGTGACCAGCAGAACATGCAGGTCTTCCTTTTGTTTTAGTTGCAAATGATTAGAAATTTATTTAGGTGCAATCTCAGTAAGATGCTCTTTCATTTAATGCAGAATTCAGGTAAGAGTTTAACTACGGTATGAGCCACAGGAATCAAGTCAGACCAACTTCTGTGTGCAGACAAACTCTGAGAGGGCAAGTCTCTGGCCTTTGGGGCTGTACCTTCCACAACTGTTTTACTCTGATGAGGGATAAAGCCAGAACAGCCACACTTCAGGGAGGTGGGCAGAGAGTACTGAGTGCTCCAAGTGATTTTTTTCCTCCTTGTCCCCTGGGGTTTTGACTGATTGTCAGTCAAAAACATTGACTGGCAATGTTAGAACCCATGCTACTGCTGCTAGGTTTGGATTTGGGAGAAAATGCTGTATTTTAATAAGTGGTCACAGAGCTCAAGCAATGCTACTGCTGCTGCAGTGGCTCTGAGCACAGCCAGGTGCGGGACTTGTCTCTGCTCAGCCACAGGGATGTGTTGGCCGGCTGTAAGGCTGACAGCCAGTCCTCCAGCTCTAGCGCTGGGGCTGGCCCTCACCTGTGGGCTTAACAAAAGGATTTCTCTTGCAAGCTAAGATCCTTGTTGTCTCAGTGGTGGTTGAAGCCCAGGAGCTGTGCAGAGTAAGTATCCTGTCTATTACATCTTTTCATTATATGAGTAATTAAAATAAATCATAGAAAGGTGTGATGTTATCTAAGTAGCAGATAGTGGGTTCTGGTTTTAAAAGAGGTACTGGGTTTTCCTCTTTTCCTGACCTCCCCCAAGTTACCCTTTCCTTGTTCTCAGCTCTGCTTTAATTAGCTCTGAAGTGATCTAATTAAGCTTGTTCAAAATAGTCTCTCCCGGTCTCGAAACCTTGCTGTGGTGGGAAAATTATTTTTAAATTACTTGGATTTTGTGCTGTTACTTACGCAGTTCTTTAGAGTCAGATCCGCTCCGTGCAGGATCAGAAGCCGGATGATTTTGTAGCGGTTCAGCCTCACGGCGTCGTGCATTGGCGTGTCCCCTTCCTGGAGACACAGCGACCGGCGTCAGAACAGTCAGTCAGTCCCGGTACTGCCCTGGCCGCTGAGGTCGCTCCCGGCACTGCTGCGGCCGCTCCCGGCCAGCCCCGGCCTGCTGGGGCCGCTCCCGGTATTGCCGGCCAGCCCCGGCCTGCTGGGGCCGCTCCCGGCAGTGCCAGGACTGCCCCGGCCCGCTGGGGCCGTTCCCGGTACAGCCCCGGCCGATCCCGGCCAGCCCCGGCCGCTGGGGCCGCTCCCGGTATTGCCCCGGCCCGCTGGGGCCGCTCCCGCTACTGCCCCGGCCGCTGGGGCCGCTCCAGGCCGGGCGCTGGGCCCGCTCCGGGCCGGGCAGGCGGCGCTGGCGGAGCGGCGGGGCAGAGCTGCCGGTGCTTACCCGGTCCCTGGCGTTGAGATCGGCCTCGCAGGCGATGAGGTGCTCCCCGCAGTCGTAGCGACCTGTCCGAACAGCCACGTGCAGGGGCGTGCTGAGCAGCTGCGGGCAGGGCGGGAGATGGTCAGTGCCATGGAACAGGGGAAAGCCGCTTCAAAAACAGCTGCCAGGAGTTAGCTGCTGGGGGTTAGGGCCAGCTTTTTGTCTCCAATTAAAAAGCTGCAGAGTTCCAGAAGCACTTACCTTGTCTCTTGCATTTATGTTTATCCCTTTGTCCAGTAAGAATTTCAGAACGTCCAGGTTTCCACCCCGGCATGCCCAGTGCAGAGCTGTAGAATGAAGCTTTAATAGGAAAAGGAAATTAAAAGTATTTAAATGCATCATTATATTAAAAAACCACTATTTTAACCAAATAATCCAAATTAATTTTATGTGATTTAACCTAGAGCACTCCCTTGTGATCACACAGTGATCGCAGTTTCTAGTAAAAAAAAAATGTTTCTAGTAACAGCTTTTATTATTTTGCCCTAATTTCTGCAGTACTTTGAATTTCTCA